TGGACCATTCTCAAGTCGATTGTGATGGAAACGGCTTCACATCAGAGCTGAGTCGACAAGATGGCATCTGTGTAGAGTAGAGGCAGGAAAGATTATTTTAGAAGAAGACCAATCAATAGGATGATTAAGAGTCCCTAACATGACAGAAGAGAGCATTGTTTGTGTCTGCAGACTTAACACTTCTTTTGTGCTCCTTAAGTCTGTCATTAAGTGTACGGTCAGTTTCCCCACAGTCTTGGAGAGGACAAGATGAACAGGAAATAGAGTAGACATTAGCAGCAGGAGCAGTGTGAACCAGATTACTATGAAGAGTGTTAGTTTGTCGAAAGGTGAGCTTTATGTCAAGAGGACGAAGGGTATTAGCGAGATTTTTGAGTTCAGATATGAAGGGAAGGCAGCGCATAGTACTAGTAGTATTGTGCTGCACTGATTTATTTACAGTACAATAAATTATTTACAGTACAGTTGATAAAAATGTAAGGGTTAACCAAAGCGAGAGAAAGATTTGTATATAAAGTTCATTTCTGAATCAAGAAACTGAGGGTCGCTGATGCGTAGAGCGCGGAGGAAGAGAGAGACGAGGACACTTTTCTTAACAGAAGGAGGAAAAAAGTGAATGTACATGTCACTATGCATGGGTCTGCGGTACACAGAGAAAGAGAGACCGTACACAGAGCTGTGAACGTCAAGAAAAGGAAGGCGGGAGTTAGATTCCCATTCAAGGGAATCGACTTGAGAATGGTCCAGGACGGACCGAAACGTCGTCGTCCCTTCAACTTCTAGTGTGTGGTCTGGTCAACATTCCCATTCAACTTTGAAATGGATAGAAGGAGCCAGATTGTTAACAGAGGAGAGGAAAGGCTGGAAAAGACTAAGGTCATGAGGCCATAAAGCAAAAATGTCATCAACTTGACGACATTTTTTATAAATGTTTTTAGGCAAACATCCAAAGATTTGAAGTTTAGAATTTTGCAACATAAATACTCTGTAAGACTTGCCCAATTGTCTAATGCTTTGTTTGTTCATTTGTCTGAAAGTTCTCACCAAATTGACTTCTTTTATAATGACTTGTAAAATCATGTTCAATAGAAACATTATTGAATCTGCTTTAATACAGATTACGAAATCATGTAATTTGAATATTAGAAGTGATTTGTATAATTTAGATCCATTTTTGATTGATCAGTTAAGGGTCAATTTGAGTGGGATAATTGATACATATTTATCTCAATAATACCTTATTAACATGCAGGCGATGAGTCACAATAACGTGGCTGAAGTATGTTGACCAGACCACACACTAGAAATTGAAGGGACGACGACGTTTCGGTCCGTCCTGGACCATTCTCAAGTCGAAACGTCGTCATCCCTTCAATTTCTAGTGTGTGGTCTGGTCAACCTTATTAACATCTCCTTATCTCATTAAAGATATTGTTTTTCGCCTCATTCCTGCCAATATATCCACGTCACTCAATTGTAAATCCATCCTTCTGAAAATGTATTATTAAATACGAAAGTACCTAAGGAAATTCCCTGTCTTAATCCTTCCTCCGTGGTCTGACATTGTTATATTGTTCATCAAGTGTTGTTGTTGTTTTAGATTCCGCTACTTGGAACAAAAAGTTACAAGTAGCACGGGCTACAGTGAGCCCGTAGTGGACTTACCTGGCACAGGTGCGGGGCAGTAACTTCTTTTTCTTCGTGATTGATTGATGAAGATTAAGCCACCCAACAGGTGGCACGGGCATGAATAGCCCGTAAGTGGTGGCCCTTTTGAGCCACTACCAGTATCATTAGCTGATACTGGAGATCTGTGGCGGTGCGACTGCACCCTGCGTGACGGGAGATGTCTCCCGTCTTTTTCTTCGTGATTGATTGATGAAGATTAAGCCACCCAACAGGTGGCACGGGCATGAATAGCCCGTAAGTGGTGGCCCTTTTGAGCCATTACCAGTATCAAGAGATGATACTGGAGATCTGTGGAGGTGCGACTGCACCCTGCGTGACGGGAGATGTCTCCCGTGTTTTTTCTTCGTGATTGACACACACATATATACATGAATGAGGTTGAGACGAATGAGGTGAGGATGTGGACGGGTGCGTACGCTAGGGAGCGTGGCTATGGGTGGCGTCTGGCCAGGTGGGTGCCGCGGGCTGAGACACCCTGGCTACCCTGCACGGAATTGATGCTGCTTATTGCTGCATCACCATAGTTGTGCGTACTCTATAGGACTCTTAAGTACTTGCTCTCTCTCTCTCTCTCACTCAGCCTCCTTCTCTCTCTCTCTCTGTACTCACCTAGCTGTGATTGCGAGGGTTGATCTTCATCTCATGGGTCCGGCTTTCCAGTCTCCAATCGACTCGTGCGATGGTTTCCGAGTCATTTTGTATGTCATATCTATCTTTGGAACTATTTGTATGTACATTTACCTAGCTGTGTCTGCGTAGTCGGGATTCACCTCCTAGTACCCGCCTTTCCAGCTTTCAGTCATCTCCAGAAATAACTTTGAATCTACACGAGTCCCGCCATATAAACTTTTGAAATTGTATTTGGAGCATAACTTTTATTTTTAGCGTCTCTACTTGTACAGGGCTTCAATAGTACGGTGCTGGAACTGTACAGATAAAAGTTTACGGCGAGGTGTCCATCCAGATCGCTGAACGCAGACCCCATCTAATTATTATTTCTAAACCTAACTCGAACAAATTTAGGCCGTCTGCTTTGCTGAGTACTTCATCAAACAGGAACCAAAAGACTCGTGTAGCCTTTCTTGATTGATGATTGATGAAGATTAAGCCACCCAAAAGGTGGCACGGGCATGAATAGCCCGTAAGTGGTGGCCCTTTTGAGCCATTACCAGTATCAAGAGTTGATACTGGAGATCTGTGGAGGTGCGACTGCACCCTGCGTGACGGGAGATGTCTCCCCCGTGGCCTTTCTTGATCTTCAAGCTGCTTTTGGCAGAGTTAACAGGGAACTCATCCTGGAATACTTAGCTTATTTTGGGAATCGGGGAGATTTATTGTCGAGCATTAAGGGGCATTATATTATTATATAGCAACTGTAGCAATTATATTAAGAGTCTTATTTACTGATTTAAACCTTGTCTGATTTACCTGAGGGTTAATAACACTAGTGGCCTCGACGAGGATAGGAAGCCGGCGGCTTGTCGAAGGTTCTCCCAATTTGCCTTGATGTTTTCAAGGTGAAATTTAAACTCGTGTCCGAAGCTAGACACAAATACAATAAAATTATTAAGGATGGTAACAGAGTCCATTTCATGTGGTCTCCATCTCATGTTGGCCTCCGAATGCATGATAGAGCTGATAAGTTAGCCAAAGAATCTGTCTTTAAAGGAGCCGTTGAGTGTAACCTTGGATTGTCAATGAGCAATCTGAGAGCAACAGTATACTGAGAACTTCAAGATCTTGTAGATCTGAGGCATAGTGAAATTGACACCAGTAATTCCATCTATCATCATACTATCATGCAAGAGGAGCCACACATCTATCGATCATCCAATAAAATTAGCAGACTTCTTGATGTTACTACTGCTCGGCTTAGACTCGGTTACAAGTATCTCTGGGAATTCTCATTATCTGCTGATGTAGGCCTGACCAAATGTAAACTGTGTCAACAAAATTATTCGCACACCCTCCGTCACTATGTGATGGAGTGCGAAAAGATACGTGAATTTAGAGACAATTCTATAACCAATGTTCCAGCGATGTGTAAATATTTCATTTAAAATGACCTGCTACCAGAAATTTTAGCCAAATATCCCCAGTTTGCTAACTGTAGGTAGTAACTGAGTGATTGTAACCTATCCACCGCTGCCCACTGGATGGGGGGCGGTGTGCAGGACAAACATATAAATTTTGACACTAGCTCTCCACATATGTCAGTTGCTTAATTTAGAATCTGTACTTGAGGTCGATCTCGAACCCATTGTTGATGTGACGACTTATATTGAATTTTGTTACTAGCTCATCAAGATTGTAACTTGCTTAGCTAAATGAATTGTGGGGTTCAGTCCCTGAGCCCATTATGTGCCTCTGTAACCTGTAACGTTTCCATTGTTACGTAAAGTATGGTGACAAATAAACACAGACACTAAGATACTATATATATATATTTGGTCGAATATACAGAAGTACACAGGTGATACTTTGGTGTGAGTTGAGCGCACTGAGCGTCGGTACAGTATCTCGCAAGTGTCTGCTCTAGACCACACTTGAAAGTAGACTAGTTAATGTTTGCTATTCTGCTGCTTATATGCTCGGGCAACACCTCACCGTGTTGCCCGGGCAACGCCTCACCTCATTCATCTCCAAAGGTTGACAGGAATATTAACAATGCATTTGGAGCGAGTATATTATTGGGATAATCTACTCGCTACAAACCCTTTCCACTACCGCCCACAAGATGGGTATGGGGTGCATAATAAATGAACTAAACTAACTCTGTACTCTCATAAACCCAATTGTAACTTATTGTATATAAATAAATAAAATAAATAAATAAATAAGTAAATAAATAAGTTTATAAATAAATAAATAAATAAATAAATTAACACGTGGAACCGCCTACCCGCCGAAGCCGTTAATGTCAAAACTCTGTTAACCTTTAAAGTACAACTGGAAAAGATAATCAAGGCAAATGGGGGGATCTTCGACAAGCCGCCGGCTTCCTGTTTTCGTAGAGGCCACTAGTGTTAGTGGATCTCAGGTGTTTTATATTTAGTAAATCCAGAGTACAAATGTAAACAATGATCAGCTGATAATGCATGTAGTCCAAATATTACTATTTACGGATAAAACAAATATAAAAACATTGTAACTTACAAACAATATAATAAACTTGTTACAATTATGTTCAGCTGTAAGGTAGCATTCATTACTGCTAAATATTACTGATGACTAAGGTGAAGAGTTATGACAGGTGCCTTATTGGCAAAAACATTACTCCGTAATTGAGGCCGGCATGGATGTGATCAGCTGTTGGCACCCACAGCACCCAATACCGCGCCAGACCACAGGGTGCTGAAGAGTCCCAGCCTCACGGTTCCCGTTCTCCTTGATGAGGCAGACGAAGACGTCCGTTATGACATCCTTCGTCATACCTTCCGCTCCATCCGTCATGTCCGTGGCCTGAAGTGGCTGTAAAGTATGTGGTCTGAAGAGATTTGTAGGGACTGTGGCTTGAAGAGACTGTAGGGATCTCATTTTTATTTTGCTGTGTCCCGGTATCGGGGCGCAACCGATCCCTCGAGCATCTTCACCTCTCAACCAACAACAACATCAAAAAACTGCTTGTTCATTTGGGGCTATTGAGAGAAAAGCCATGGAGCCAACGCATTTTCAACGGGATACTTGTGAGTTTTCAACTGAAATTTTCTTACACGTGTTCATTTCGCATATATTTGAATGGGATATCTGATGGGTAAGAAACATTTAATGTGTAGCTTCATGAACAAGACCACCAAAAGTTTTAGTTTTAGTTCATTTATTATACACCCCCATACCCATATTGTGGGCGGTAGTGGAAAGGGTTACAGAGGCACATAATGAGCTCAGAGACTGAACCCCACTATTCATTTAGCTAAGCAAGTTACAATCTTGATGAGCTAGTTACAAAAATTCAATGCACGTTGCCACATCAACAATGGGCTCGAGACCGACCACAAGTACAGTTTCTAAATTAAGCAACTGACATATGTGGAGAGCTAGTGTCACAATTGATATTTTTGTCCTGCACCCCCCCCCCCCCATCCAGTGGGCAGCGGTGGATAGGTTACAATCACTTAGTTACTACCTATAGTTAGCAAACTGGGGATATTTGGCTAAGATTTCTGGTAGCAGATCATTTTGAATGAAATATTTACACATCTCTTGAACATTTGTTATATAATTGTCTCTGAGTTCATGTATCTTTCCGCACTCCATCACATAGAGACGGAGGGTGTGCGAATAATTTTGTTGACATAGTTTACATTTGGTCAGGTCTACATCAGCAGATTATGAAAATTTCCAGAGATACTTATAACCGAGTCTAAGCCGAGCAGTAGTAACATCTAGAAGTCTGCAGATTTTATTGGATGATCCATAGATGTGTGGCTCCTCTTGCATGATAGTATGATGATAGATGGAATTATTGAAGTCAATTTCGATTTGCCTCAGATCTACAAGATTTTATTGAAATTCTTGATGTAACTGGCAATCCCCTCACAGTGTTCAAGAGAGAACTGGATAAGCACCTCCAAAGGATACCTGATCAACCAGGCTGTGACTCATATGTCAGGCTGCGAGCAGCCGCGTCCAACAGCCTGGTTGATCAGTCCAGCAACCAGGAGGCCTGGTCGACGACCGGGCCGCGGGGACGCTAAGCCCCGGAAGCACCTCAAGGTAACCTCAAGGTAAGGTACAGACTGCTCTCAGACTGCTTATTGACAATCCAAGGTTATACTCAATTTCTCCTTTAAATGCAGATTCTTTGGCAAACTCATCAGCTCAATCATGCATTTGGAGGCTAACATGAGATGGAATCCACACTTAAACAAAGTGAAAATGTTGGGTTTAACAGCCTTACTCACAGGATTCAAATATTCTAAATAATGGAAACAGGTCATCTAAAATCGAAAGCTACAATCCATCCCTGACAAATGACATGGGACAATGTCCAAAAGTATGTGGGTGGGGGGGAGACCCAGAGGTGTGTGGTAGTGGTGCTGCCACAGGTCCCCAAACAGACCAACTGGTAAACAAATCCACAAAGGCCGTGACGAGGATTCGAACCTGCGTTCGGGAGCATCCCAGACACTGCCTTAATCGACTGAGCTACGAACTAGACCAACTGGTAGTTATCCTCTGTGCTTTATGCCTGATTTTGCATGATCTTGTCCTATGGACACAGCCGGATCATACCAGAGGGAGCATCAGATTGAGATACTGCAGCTCAGAAAACCAGATACCATTTTTTCACTGCACTTCCTAAGTTCTCTTTGCTGTTGAAACTTTTGTTTTTGCTCAAAATCTCAACATACAGTACTTTAATTGTTACCGTAGTAATTCTTGAGTGCTACTTCAGTCAGTCATACCTAACTTTTATGTTGGGAACATTAAATACATATAAATAAAAAAAGAATGAATTAGAATTTAAAAGATGATTACAAATTACAGTAATACTATTATATTATTACAGTATTACTATTGACTTAATACTATTATCAATGTTTTGTGACTAAATACTACAGTATTAGTTTCAATGTTTTTATTATACATAATTAGAGGGAGCTTGCCAATCTGTCATTCCAATAAATAATGTAATGCAAATGGAGAAAATACACAGTAAAATATACCTTTGACATCACATGAGTTCTTAACTTGCTGTATAGTGATGTCTGCTGTGAAGACCTATATGGACAGGATGGTGTTAGCCAAAATAAATACAATGGCTCTTCCAGAGCATGTATAATCACCTATTTTACCAAATGAAGTTTGCACATCTGATGAAAGGAGAAAAAGTGAATTAAGTGGTGATGTGAATTGAAGGGAAAAAAGTGCATGAAAGGTCTGAAAAAAATTATATGAAATGATATTACTGTACTTACTAACATAAAGAATACTATGTAATAAAAAGCAGTACAACAAATTTATGATCTTGTGTTAATCAGTCTGTACAAATACACTTGTTTATTTGTAATCATTATACTGTATTTTTGGCTGTGATTATATCTTTTGTGCCACAGTTTGATAGTATGATTAGAAATAAAAAAGTTAATAACATAAGTTGTTAAAGTAAATGGAGAATTTTGAGTGTCTTCAAGTGGAAACCCTCTCGTAAGATCTATGCCACTGTGAAAATGGACATCCGCTGTTTAGGAAGAGGAATAGAATTGACTAGCGTTTGAAAAGAGGGAAGCTTTGTGTTGACCTATGTGCTAAGATTATTGTTGTCAGTACTCGTCTGCACTCTACTGTACTAGTACTTAGAATTTGCCCATATTGTACCACCCCCATATGTTATGTGGTTTTTAAATGTAATTTTCTTTTTCTGAAATAAATTTTGCATTTATACCAATCTGTGCTAGTGTAAAATTATTTTGTAAGTGTTAAATTTATTTTTTTATTTTTTCAGCATGAGAATAGTGGTTAATGCATCACGCACGCTACTGTAGTAGTATGCTTGGATTCTTCTTTGAGTTATTTGCTGGTCTATGGCAATCCATATTGGCAATGTTTGGGTTTGGCACATACCAGCCGGCAGTTGAGGACATGTTAGAAGTATTTGTCAGGACTAACACTGGTGAAAAGGTAAACTACACACTGTAAAAGTAATATTTTATTTAAACATTGTGTGTCCTTTTTAACTGGATGCGATATTTTGAATAACCCTCTAAGTGCAGCTATCATAAATGGTGTCACTCTGTCTGTGCATTAAAAAGGAAAAAAAAATTTTTGGTACACATCGACATAAAGCCTGCTGACTGGGAGAGGGCTGGTATGTTCAAATTACATGGTTTACATGTTCAATATTTCACTTGAGTTTATGTAATGTGTAGAATAACTTAATTTATTTACACATAATATACATGGGCCTATATTCCGGTACAAGCACAAGCACTCAATGCAGTGTAGTGTGCTGAAAAAGCTTCGACATGGGGCAGATACCAGAAATGCTTAAATCAGCAGATATAGCTTCCCCTACGCAAGGGAAGGAGCAAAGTATTAGCTAAGGATTATAGACCAGTCGCACTAATGTCCATTATAATTAAAGTTTTTGAGAGTGATCGGGAGTCAGATCTATAGTTTTATGGAGACCAATGACCTCTACAACTCGGGGCAACATGGATTTAGAGCAGGAAGACTCCATTTTAGAGCAGGAGTCTTTTGCAGCTACTTGATCTATATGACAAAAGTTGATCCATTAGTAGGATCCATTAAAAGAAAAACAGAATGCAGATGTGGTTTATATGAACCTTGCAGAGGCATTTGATAAATTTGACCATGGAATGAGAGCTCACAAAATGAGATCACTAGAAATAACAGGTAATGTAGGGAGATGGATATTTCATTTTCTGTCAAACAGAATGCAAAGAGTAACAGTCAGTCAAATAAAATAGTCCAATAATTGAGAAAAGCTCTGTACCTCAGGGCACAATCCTTGCATCACTGCTTTTCCTTATTCTCATATCAGACATAGACAAGAATATAAGTCACAGCTTCATGTCATCTTTTACAGATGAACCAAAAATCAGCACACAAATTACTTCTGTAGAAGGCATTAAAAAAACAAGCCAATATTAATAATTTTCAATTAAGCAGCAGAAAATAACATGTTTAAAAGTGATAAATTCCAGGTACAGTACATAGAATGGGAAAATGAAGGCATTAAACAAAATACAGGGTACAAGACACATTTAAATCTGCCTGTAGTAGGAAAGCAACATGTAAAGGATTTAGGAATAATGATGGTAGGGAGAATAACGAAAGAAATATAGCATTAGCTAAAAAAATGATAGGGTTGGATTACAAGAACCTTCAAATCAAGAGATCCCATCACAATACTCCCTTCTTTTCTTTAGGGCAGTCAAGAGACTGCTGAAATAAAAGGAATACAGAGAACATGTATGGCATGCATAGACAGGATAAAGCACCTAAACTATTGGGATTGTCTCAAGGCTCTTAAGATGTACTCTCTCGAAAAAAGATGAGAGAGGCATCAAATAAGATATTCAGTATCTGGAAAATACTGGAGGGTCAGCTCCCAAATTTGCACAATAAAATAACAACATACAGGAGTGAATGATATAGAAGGAAATGCACACTAGAGCCAGTGAAGAGTAGAGGTGCCATAGACACAATAAGAGAACACTGTGTGAACATCAGAGGTCCACGGCTGTTCAGTATCCTTCCAACAAGGATAAAAAATATTGGCGGAACAAAAGTGGAATGCTTCAAGAAAAAACTGAACAGTTTTCTACAAGAAGTGCTGGACCAACTGGACTGTAGTGGATATGTGGGCCTGTGAGCCCACAAATTAAAGCAACAGCCTATTGGACCAAGCTCTCACAAGTCAAACCTGGCCCCAGACCAAGCTTGTGGAGTAGAACTCCCAGGACCCCATCTAGGTATCTATAGTGTAGATAAATCTGTTCTTGGTGCAGTCCAAGTAAGTATTTTGCAACCCACTCATTTGCTACTATTCTACATGTTAATGTCATCTAGAAATAGATTCAAACACCTGTGGGAAACACCATGGTGATAATTGGATAACTATTGGTAGATAATAACATCATCACATATTAAGCAATTAAAAATTATAGCAGAATTTTTACATGAATTTAGGCTATCTCCATTAATCCATATAAATGTATTATAACCATATTTACACAATTAATATAAATACCGGGTGATAATAACTAAAATAAAGATGCAATAATTTGATAACCACATTATCCAGGGGATCAACGTTTGACAATAGCTGCACTTTAACCCTTAAACTATTTCTATTGTTCTCATATGATAGACCCATTGTGCTCCTGTTGTTTGTGAATGATTTAATGTGCCTCTTAATATTCAAAGTTCCTAAATAATCTGTGTGATTGTCATTCTACACTAGAGATCTCTGCCAATTGTTTGCCACATCAAGAAAAAGTCCTGAAAGACTTAGCTACCTTCCTGGGCATTATTAAAAAAAATTGGCACCATGTCAGGTGCATCACTATCCATTCACTGATGCCTATCCTCAAAAACATTGGCATTGTGCAAAATTTCAAGGACTTTTATGGACCTGGAAGATATTGGTGTTAAGGAGAAATCTGTTAAAAATAGTTTACTTGAAAATTAAATTTGTTTACCTGATTTACCTGAGGGCCACTAACCCTAGTGGCCTCGACGAGGACAGGAAGTCGGCGGCCTGTCGAAGGTACCCCATTTGCCTAATGATCTTTTCCAGGTATATTTTGAAATTCAGCACAGTTTTGGCAGTTACAGTGGGTAGGCAGATCCATGGATTAATAACCCTGTGGGTGAAAAAGCACCTCCTGTTCTCAGTCCTACATTGTGGCTTATTGAGCTTGAAACCATTGCTCCTTGTTTGTGTTACATCTGACCTTCTGAAGAAAATATCCGGATCAACATCCTCTAACTTGTTCAGTATTTAAAAGTTTCAGTGAGATCCACCCTATCATGTCTGGTTTGCAGTGTTGTTAGCCCTGTGGTCTTCAAGCGTTCCTGATACGAGAGATGACTTAGCTCTGGAATGACTTTTGTCACCCGGTGTTGTACCCTCTCCAGAGTAGCTATGTCCTTCTGAAAATGAGGTCTCCATGCTTGGATACAGTAATCTAAGTGGAGGCACACCAGAGATATATACAGTTGAACGATTACCTTCTTTTCCTTATACAGTAGTCAAAATTACGCTTGAGTATCCCAAGAGTTTGGGTAGCTTTTCTGACTGCTGCACCCACCTGTTGTGCAACTTTTAATGAGTGGTGGATCTTGACTCCAAGGTCCCTTTCTTCATCAGTCTGCTGTAATGTAATGTTATTAATTTGGTAGTTGTGGCATGGATTGTTATGCCTCACATGCAGGGTCTTGCATTTGTCAATATTAAAAAGCATTTGCCAGTCTTCTGACCATTTGTGGAGTTCATGTAGATTGCTTTGTAAGGCTTCAATATTGTTAATATTTCCCACTTTACAATAAATCTTTGTGTCATCTGCAAATTTGATGATGTGGTTTGTAATATTCTCGTTTGTCATTGATGAAACGCTGCGCATACTAGTGGCTTTACAAGATTGTAAATACTGTACTATGCTATGTTTTCTCTCAAAACCAATGTACCTTCTTGTATATAAATAAATAAATAAATGTATTAGTATATTATGTACTAATGTACGGAGCCGGTCGGCCGAGTGGACAGCACGCTGGACTTGTGATCCTGTGGTCCTGGGTTCAATCCCAGGCGCCGGCGAGAAAAAATGGGCAGAGTTTCTTTCACCCTATGCCCCTGTTACCTAGCAGTAAAATAGGTACCTGGGTGTTAGTCAGCTGTCACAGGCTGCTTCCTGGGGGTGGAGGCCTGGTCGAGGACCGGGCCGCGGGGACACTAAAAAAGCCCCGAAATCATCTCAAGATAACCTCAAGAAGGTATATGACAAAAAGGGTCTCAAAATGGACCCTTGTGGCACCCCACTTATCACATTTCTCCATTCAGATTCATTTCCATTTATCACAACCCTTTGTTTTCATTCCTTCAACCATTGTTTTATCCATTTTAATATTTTATCATTTATTCCATGGGCCTGAAATTTCCTTGCCAGTCATTCATGTTTCATGTCGTAATTTTCATAATATGATGTCATCACCTCACTACTGCCAAACTAAAATACAGTAATTTGATTTTTCCTAGCATGGAAATAAATATTTTGCAATATTAAAAGGAGAAAGAATTTTTTAGAATTTTTTCTTACATGCACTTAGAAAGGAACCTAAAAAACCAGCGTTGAATGTAATGAAACGCCATTTTCTGGGTGAGTCCCGGAGGCTCCCCGGCATCCGCTCCGGGGAGCCGACGGGGCTCCCCCCAGAAAAGTGCACAGTTTAAAGGTTAAGGATTAAAGTTTGCCGTTTTATTTTTAAATTATTGTAGTTGATTTAAGTCAGACTGTGTACTGTCCAATTTAGTGGCATGTCTTTTTCTCAATTAATATTTCTGTGGAGAGCCCCATCAGCTCCCTGAAGCTATCTGAACTGATAGGTGCTATATTAGTTTGGGGTCATCAGTCACAGGAGGCCTAATGCCTATTGGGGACCACAAACCAGAACCTTACCCCCCTCAGAGAAGCGCAGGGAGCAATGGCCTATGAGTGCTTTACATTTAAAGTACTGTATGTCATAATTGCCATCGACCAGGTAAGGACCTAGAAAGGTAGGCGAATCAAAACAGACCACTGGTTATCCTGTGCAATCTACATCTGAAAAGATCAAAATAACTATCCAAAATAAGTAAAAAGAAGGACTTACCCGGAAGGCAGCAGCACCGCAGGTCGCAAGATGAAAGAGACAGCTGGCCATGACAGGAGCCCCAAAGCCACAACCACCGGGAAGGAACCAGAACGTGCACGAGATACCTGGTGACTCGGACTCTCTTCTACCTCCAAAACCCCCGCACCCAAATGTCGACCCATGACATGTTGCTAAAAACTGCCGCCAGTGCAGCCTACTTCCTAACAGCGGGTATGAGGGTAGACTGCAGGCTGGCTAGACTTCATGACACTGCAGAAAACCTGAGACAAAAGAGCCCTGGAACAGGGGAACCAAGGAAACCGGATCCACCCAGAGAGCGTCCACCGGCACAGAACCAGTGGCCTGCAGGTAGTAGCGTAAAGCCACTACTGGACACAACATGTGATACATCCCCAGCCTAACCAACCAAGCATCCACAATCAACGGAGCCCTCCAGCAGCATTTTTATCCCCCCACACCCATACCCCCAAAAAATCATTAACATTGTACATCTTATCCGCTGACAAATGCAGTAGGTATGGCTCCCCTCCCCATCCCCCCAGGTTTGTTTCTGGGTGCCCTAGGGTTCCCTGGATTCATCTTTTCTGAGGTTTTCTTCCTCTCAGCCGACCCTTGTGGAGGTTCTTGAGGCCCTTGGAGTGTACCTCTTGCGAGACCCGGTTTATGCCTGTGTTGGATCTGGTTTTGAGTTTGGTTCCTCTTACACTGATCAGGTGCATTTCGAGGTTCCAGTGTCTTCCTGGCTGGCAGCCTGCAGTGTGGACTCCCTGCTGGTCTGCTTGTCTGCTAGCCAGGGTTCTGGTTCTTTCCCAGCTTGTCGGATTCGGGTTCCTGGTAACTCGGCAGAAGTCCCAATTGGTTCCGTCCCAGGTTCAGGCTTGGCTGGGTCTAGTTTGGGGTTCTTGGACTGCGTCCGATTCTCTCCTTCCTACGGTTTTGCTCCAGTTGTGATCCCGCCTTCAGCTGTTTTTGAGGGGGGGGGGGGAACCTGGGTTCCTCGGTGGTTGCCCGAGCAGCTGTGAAGGAGGCTGAACTTTGCCCAGCTGGTTTATCTGCTGGGCAGGGTTTGGCTTCGAAGGCTGTCCTTGTATCTTCGGAGTGGCCTCTTTTGCCACTCGCAATCACTGGTTTCTTTTCCCAGTGTCCTTGTGTCAGTTGCTGCGACTCTGACTTCCTTCTCGGATTTTTGGAGTTCGGTAGCATGGCGCCTTCCTCCTCCCCTCGCTCGGTGTGTTCACGGATGCCCTGTCTCTCGGTTGGGGTTTTGTGACCAGTGCTCACCAGGCCAACCAGGGGCATTGGGCGCCATCCTTCCTTGGAGCTCATAGCACGGTGCGGGAGTTTGTGGCTGTGTGGCATGCGCTGCGACGGATCCTGTTTCTTCAGGGCTTGGTGATCCAGCTCTATTCAGACTGCTCCCCGTGGTTCATTGTTTGAACCTTTGTCTCTTTAGGTTCGTGGCCTTGAGGCTGGTCGCTTAGGGTAACTCTTCTGCTGCGTTCTCGGGGTTTAGCTCTCCGTGTAGTTCACATTCAGGGTGTGTACCTCTTCCTGGCACACAGCCTGTTCCGCTTCATTCCTCTTTCCATGGAGTGGACGGTCAACTCTGCCTCCTTCCTTTGGTTTTTTCAAACATACGGGTGCCAGGAGGTGGACCTCTTCGCATCAGCATGGTCTCCCTTTGTACATGGCGCCATTCCCTGACCATGAGGCTTTCATGATCGTTGCTTTTCGGCAGGACTGGTCGAGGTGGGGGTTCCTGTCACTCTTCACCCTGGTCCAGCTGTTGCTCTGAGGTTCTGGCTCAGCTGGATTCATATCAGGGGTTCATATTGGCAATTATGACATACTTTAAATGTAAAGTGCTCATAGGCCATTGCTCCCTGTGCCTCTCTGAAGGGTGCCAGGTTCTGGCTCGTGGTCCCCGGTAGGCATAAGGACTCCTGTGACTGATGACCCCCAAACTAATATAGCACATATTAGTTTGGATAGCTTCAGGGAGCCTCTGGGGTTCAACCAGAAAATGGCATTTCATTACATTCATCGCTGGTTTTTCATACTGATATTATCTTGAAACAATCCATTACATTTAAATTCACTGCACAATGTGCTTTATTATTGTTCAGGAGTTTGGGTTAAATTATTTGCAAACATCCTTTCTATTTCATTATATCTAGTAATACTGTATGTTGTATAGACAAATACAAAAGTGCACATTGAAATTTGCAATTGCACAAATTTGTCAATAAACTACTGTATGTGAGTAATGCAGTGTGTTTAAACTGACAGTGGTTTCTTCATACTTATTAATCACCACCCCATTACTTATGCATAATATAGTCTACATTCTCTTCTTGTCAAATTGAAATTGACAATGATATAAATATAACAGTTCAATTTGTGAGTAATGTGGTGGAATTGAACTAGAGAAACAGTGCCTCTAACATCCAATACTTATTTACTTGTTGGGTGTGGAAAATTTTAATTTATGTTTTTTTTATTACACTACTAGTTCATGTATGTTTTTAACTTTTTTTTTAATGATTACACATTTGACAGGTCTTTATTTCCATCGATCCATCATGGACAGTAGAGCAGGTGAAAATAAAATTGGCACCCAAACTCAACAGTTCCAGCAACGACTTAAGAATTATTTTTGCTGGAAAGGAATTGCCAAATGAAATGGTCATCCAACAATGTGATCTTGGAAATCACAGTTTTCTTCATGCAGTCAAAGTGGTGGCTAAAAATAACAATGGAGATACATCAATGAGCGCAGCCTCGTCCTCTTCTGCCACTGAGGTGGAATACTTGAATGAAGCCGCAAGCTCTGAGAAAACTGCAGCAAATGATGAGGTAATTATGTATAAGTAATGTATATGTATATTACATTAAATAAAGATGTAAGGCTATATTGGTCACTTCAGGATAACCATACATGTTCTGCTACATATGTGTGGGATAAAGAGAGGCATGGTCAGTCAGTTGCTAGTTGGCAAGTGGAAGGTATTGAAGGAAGAGGTTGTTGAAGCCAATTCCATCCAGGACTTTAAAAAGGAATATGAAGATGTTAATGTTGAGAGAGTTAATTAGCACACCAGGTATAAATGGCTAGGAGGTGGGGCATAAAGAGTTAGATCCCTCTTCCCCATAGTCACTCAAAGGTAAACATCGAATGAATCAGATTTTGCTTCTGGTTTACTGTAGGCTTTTATGACTCTCAAGGACCTGGTGTGGCATTATAGATGTGGGGATAGCCAGGTAGCTAGCTCAGGAAGCCACCAAGGGAATCCCCAAAAAGTACAGGGTCGAAATACTGACCCTCTTCAGGATGCAACCCCACAACAAGCTAACTAACTCATGGGTACCTATTTACTAATAGGTGAACATGTGCATTAGGTGATAGGAAATGCCGCCAACCATTTCTGTCCCGCCCAGGACTCGAACCTCGGAATTCCCAATTGTGAGTCAAGGATGAACCCAACTGTATTGCCGGGACACATTAGTCTATTTACTGTACTGTACATTGCCCTAAATGCCATTCTGTTTTTGCAGTCTGTGAAATTGCCAAGTAGATCTGATCAATCAACACATTTCACCACCAAAGACCCTGAGGAGCAGACAACTAAGGCTGAAAATGATACAGCATTTGGAGCATCTTTGCCACCTTCACAGTCCACTGAATTTATCCCTCCCTCCACTAAACTTATACGGGGTGGTGGCGGCCGACTTCTTTGTGATGCATCGACAGTCATGACGATACAGATGACTGAGGCAGAACAAAAGAGTATTCGTGACCTTAAGGTGAATATTAAGATGCTTATGAAAGATGTATTTAATTTAATGGTACACAAAATGACTAAAAAAATTTACTATAGCATAATGTTGCCTATGCATAATAAAATTTTGGTAAGAGCATTGAATAGCCACCAAATGTGGATGCATCACTCCATTACTTGTCACTAAGCTATGAATGTACAAAAGGAAGGAATTCATGAGTTAACTGACTGTGGCCCAGAACTGCATTTTGATCATGATGGTAACCATTGCCTGACTCCCTCCAAACACACACCGAAACTACGACGTTGCTACAACGTTCGAACAAGTTTTAACACCTCCTAACCAGTTATAAAAACCAATACATCAAGTTGTAACAACGTTCTAATATGTCATAAACACGTTAAGCCAAGATGTAACAACTTTATTACAAGTTGTAACAAGCGGAAAATAGAGACAGTTACGGTTTGTGTTTCCAGGGCTGCCCTGTTCACTTTCATTTGAACAAACCTTTGTATAAATGAAGAGTGAAGAAAGCACGAAACCACTGGCTACCCAAATCTTGGGCAAGGCTTAAAATGGTCTGAATTACAGTTAGTAAGCACCTGTATGCCTTTCTTTTATGAAGTCATACCTGAGTGGTGAGCATGGCAGGCCCACATCTTGTAGGCTCTCCAGGAATCTGAAAAAGTAATTATTACAATCACATTACTGTGACTTTTTGTTAATATATTCATTATACTTTCACGCTCTAGCTATTTAACTCTGGCTCTTTTTATACAAAATACAGGTTACTAATTGTTTAACTATAACTGTACCTTATATATTTCATTTGCTGCTATAGCAATTTGTGCATTATACTGATGATAACTCATAATATACTGACTCCTGTAAGGTGAAGAGTACCTTTGTTTATACAGTACATAATAAATAAAGAAAGAATACTTTTTTATTTATAAGGATAGTGTAAAGTGAAATACATTTCAAAGTGTTTCAGGCATATCATAGAGCTAATAGAACTATTGTTTTTAAGTATTGTATAGTACTGCAATTGTACAGTATAGTAATTAAGAAGTTTGCATAGATACAATAAACATTTGGCTAATACTTTAAACTAGAGATTATTATTTGTAATTCATTTTGTCAGGGACAGGAAGCCCGTGCATATATATTTTAGGCTTGTATCAAGGTTCCCCCCACCCCTTCCCCCCCATTCCCCAACCACTTGTGCTGGATGGTAGAGCGATGGTCTCGCGTCATGCAAGTTGGCGTTCAATCCTCAACATGTTCACGTGGTTGGACATCATTTCCCCCCGTCCCATCTCAAATCCATATCTTGACCTCTTCCATGTGCTACCTGCTTGATACCTGCTTGATACCTGCTTGATGGGGTTCTGGGAGTTCTTCTACTCCCCAAGCCCGGCCCGAGGCCAGGCTTGACTTGTGAGAGTTTGGTCCACCAGGCTGTTGCTTGGAGCGGCCCGCAGGCCCACATACCCACCACAGCCCGGTTGGTCCGGCACTCCTTGAAGAAAATAATCTAGTTTTCTCTTGAAGATGTTCACGGTTGTTCCGGCAATATTCCTGATGCTCGCTGGTAGGACGTTGAACAACCGCGGACCTCTGATGTTTATACAGTGTTCTCTGATTGTGCCAGCCAGTCATAATGGCTTGGCGCTTTCCCCTGATAATCCCCCCCCCCCCAAAGTTGAACCTCTTCAGGATGAATCTCCATAAGAGTTGCCTAACTCCTAGGTACCTGTTTACTGCTAAGTGAACAGAGACATTAGGTAAAATGAAACATGCCTAACCATTTCTGTCTTGTCCAATCAAACCCAGGATCCTCAGTTGTGAGTCGAAAACCATTTTTAAAATGTGATAACAACAGAGTCAAATAATATTCAAGAAAGGTAGTAATACTGAGAAATGACTGTTTATGAAATTAGCAGTTTTGAAAATAACATGTGAATTTGAACCATAAGGGTATATGATTTTATGATGCTGGCACATGGTAGATATATTTTAACACCATAGCTATTACATAATAGAGTACTGAGAGTATAAGTAAGGGATAGTAAAGAGAACCAGTAGGATGCATGTAGAGATTAGCACAATGAGATATGAGATACTACTGTGACACAGGTACTTTAAATTATTATTGAATAACATATTTTTATTTCATTTGGAAGGCATTCCATGTTTGTTTCCATGGGTGCTGCCCCCATACAATGGATACCTGAAGCTATCTCACTGAGATCTGCATCTGATGTGTCATGTCAGATGCAGGAGTTCTGTTTGTCCCACCAGGAATCAGAGGCAGAACTGGACCTCCCCCCCCTCCCCTCCTATCCCTTCCCCCCCCACACACACACAGGCACAGAGAACAAATGACAATTTGCCACCCCACTGGGAAAGCCTCCAGAAAGTCAGTAAAACTTAACAGACAACTGGAGGGTTCCAGAAAATGAGGCCAAAACTGCCAAAAAAACTGCACACGATTCACATAGAACAAGAGATTCACTCAAAGGAGCTCGAAACTTGTTAGTAGCAATTGCCACCACTAGGTGCCTAGGGCTCTGCCCACAGCTGGCACCCCTGGGTAGTTCTGTTATTGATGAATTCATGGAAGGTTCTACCAGTAGTGCTCTGGGTCCGTCAGAAATGGCAAGCCCTTCTGCTCGAAGCTATGGGCCAGTCTCCTTGAACTTTGTCCTGTAGGGGTCAGTTGCTTTGTGTTATGACTTGCTGGTTGGTCGAGCAGTTGTGCAGGAGTCTGAACTTTGCCTGCATGGTTTTCCAATTGGATAGGGTTTGGTTCCTGGCATTGTAACAGTTTGTCAGGTTCTGCCCCTTTCACTGTACCTAGGATCAGTGGGTTCAGGTGCTGCTCGCTCTTTGTTGGTTCTTGTGTCGCCGGTTTCCCCATCAAGCTTTTCAGGGTTCGGTTCTGTGGTGCCATCCTTCCCTGTTGATGGTCAGGGCTGTTACTTTTGATGCACAGTACAGTGCAGTGCAAGAGTTTACAGCTGTGCTGCATGCTCTGTGGAGCACTTGGCTTCCTCCGAGCTCCATGCTTCGACTACACTCTGCTCCTCAGTGGTTAATTGCCTGAATCAAGGGGGTTGCTTAAGTCCATTGGCCTATGGGGCTGGACATTTTGAGGAGCTCATCTCCTGGATTCTTGAGGTTTGGTTCTCTGCGCAGTTCACCTCCGGGGGGTGTCCAACATTCTCACAGATGGATTACCTCATTTCGGTTCAATTTCCATGGAGTAGGCTGTCGACAACACATCCTTCTGTTGGCTCTGTGAGATGTTTAGTTGCTATGAAGTGAACCTCTTTGTATCGGTGTTGAACAGACACCTTCCCTCCTACATAGCTCCTTTCCCCGATTGCAAGTGGATACCTTTCAACTGGACTAGTTGAGGTGAAGGTGCATTTACCCCTTTCCCCTGGTTGGACTGTTGCTCAGGCTCTGTCCAGTCTGAAGCTGTACTTGAGGAGAGTGAACCTTCTGGCTCCATGGGGGTCGGCCCAGCCTTGGTTTCTGGTGCTTTTTGGGTGTTTTTCTGCAACTCCGCCTATTTCAGGAGCTCAGCCTGACGATGTATTATGCTGCTTCAACCTTCTCCTCTGTTCAACACACCTGGAGTTTTTGACATTGATCAATTGCCATTTGTATCATGAATAGGTGACTGGGTTTCTGGTGTTCCACATCAGTCTTTCATTGTGGTGGCAGGTGTCAGGTTACCCGACACTAGTTTTCTCACTCTCTGACTCTTCACCATTTTTTCGGTTTCTGTCAGGGTCATTTTGTCCTTTTTATCTTGGTTGTTACTTTATCTTTGTTCTTTCTTGACCTCATGCCTAATTCTCTCGCTTCTTACCATTCAGTGTTGGCAGAGCCACTGTTACTTGTGTTCAGCATTGACACCTCGGCCATGTTATGCAAGTTGTCTCATGTGTTTTTTCACCTCCAGCCGAGTCTTACTCCTCCTGAGCCTTCCTGGTCTCTTGACCAGGTTTTTGTCTCTCTCTTTACCATGGTTTACAATTTTCCCCTTTGGCTCATGGTATCTTTTCAATGATGTTTTTTTTTTTTTTGTTGCCTATCATCTCTGGCTAAAGAGTTAGGAAGCTTCAGGCTCTTCTCTGGAGGCAGGTTCTGTTTCTTTTGCCTTGGTGGGTGGTTGTTCGTTTGTAGCCTATTCCTTCTTTTCCAGTGAGGAAAGAGTCAGCTCATTTCTGAGGGGGGAGGGGATGTTCCCATGATGATTTGGTTACTGGTGCTTGATTCATCGAGCTAGGGGTGACTACTTGTTGACATAATTTTTCTGGCAGTTGTGATAGCAACTTTGTTGTGTTCTTTGAAAGTAAGGTCTTCCAGCATGATCACTCCTAAATCTTTTACATTGCATTTGTTGTGTCCAATGGCAAGTCTTTACAGTTACCAGGGGGCCACCAGTTATGCCTCAGTGGGCACCGGTTGACCCTGCTTTCTTGGTCCTCTGTTCCAAGGCTCACATTTCTCAGGTTATCTGCAATGCCATTATATCTAATCAACCTGCTGTCGACCCTCAGACCCACGATGTTTGCAAATATGCTGCTTTGACTATGGTCTTCTCAAACTTGTCCTGGGCTGATATTCAGACTTGGATGTTTTAGCATTCTAACAGGGTTCTGGCAGCCTGGTATTTAGTTAATGTTCCTGATCCCAGTCAGTCATGTGCTATTTTGGGTCGTCTCTCCTGGCCTAGGTTCTCTTCTATGTACTGCCACCCCTTTTCCTTCCTGGTTAGTTCCACTTTTTGTTCTCTGTGGTTAGCTTCAGGAAGCTACCAGGCGCCACCACCCGGGTCGCCTGGTGGTGGCGCTCAGTACTAACGAGTTCCATGCTCATTTGAGTAAATTTCTTGTTCCTTGTGAATCATCGGCAGATTGATTTGGCGGTTTCAAGGCTTCATTTTCTTCTGTAACCTTCCATTTGTCTTTAAAGTTTTGCTGATTTTCTGGATGCTTTTATGATGGAGTGGTGAACTGTCACTCACTTTTTGCACTTGAGTGAGGGGGGCCAGGTTTTGGCTAAGGTCCCCAGTAGGCTAAACAGAACTCCTGCCTCTGATGTGACCTATAAGAATAAAGTAAAGTTTCATTAAGATAGCTTTAGGGAGCCACCGTGGCTCTACCAGAAAAAGGAGTGTCATTACATTCAATGCTAGATTTTTTATCCCTTTTTTGCGTGATATTTAGGAAAGATTTCAGGTCGTGAGTTAGCATTGCAGTACTGTATGGTGTTTCCTAAATTTAGAAAGCACAGGAAAATGTATGAAGAGTTAGTTTACCGGTTATATATTTGAATACTAGTAACAACAGTATGTTGTCAAAGGATAACAAGTAATGGTTCTGATAGATGATTTTTGTTGGATAGGTTTGAATTGTGGTCAGAGAAGGGAACATACTTGAATTCAACAAAATGCAGAAAATTCAGTAAGTTAGAAAATTTTTATGTGAATCGTTGTCAGATATCAAATTTAAAATATGATACTGAATTGATAATTCAATATGTTAATGGGTTTTGTGGGTGAAGAATTAGATAACATTTTTGGTAGCATTGAAATATGATACCTTTCTGGGCTGGTCTCTTTAGTAGCTCCCGGAACTTATTGCACTTGCACCACGTGGAAACTTCCAAACATTAGGCTCTTGAGTATTTATCGGCCTGCTGGGAGGAAGTATCATTTTATTGCCTCCTCAAAGGATACAGAAGTATGTTGGGAGCTCAACCCACTATGAATGTGAACATCCCAAAAAGCTGAAATAGAGCTGAAAGTAAAACCAACCAACACACCTATAAGAAATGATTTGGAAAATCAAAACCCAAGTGATTGTTGGAACAGGCAAACCATACCCACCAAAACTTCTCTGGTTGCCACCACGTGGCAGCCCAGGTCACCTAGTTCTAGTCAGCCGCTCCTTTACTCTCTCACCTGGCACTGCACCACAAACACTGGCTCTAGCTGAGATTGAACTCTTCTGTAACAGATAAATAGCTGGCTTTCCTTTAGACTTAGTCCTGCAGTCCAATACTTAGTCCTGCATTGGGGCATGCTCCGTATGTTTCATGAATGTGTATGCTAGCCACCTTGAGTGTTTCCTTGCTGACTCATTCACTTCAGCTCACAATTCAGGGTTCTCTTCCCAGGTGCTGTGAACTAACTCTGTTAACCACACGGAGTTTAACTTCTCTGAGGTTTTTGGGTGCTGCCTTTGGAAATACTGTACTCCTCTCTGAACAGTGGTTGGGACTTGGTTGCCAATACAAGATCTGTGAGTATTTAGTTATGTGAAAAGCTGTGTGTGACTTTGTCCTGACTTGTGCAAGAATCCAGGCCTTGTGCTCTTAGCCAGATCTGTGCTTGTAAGTCACATTAAGTGACCATTCTATTCCTTCTATGGTGGCATATGCTCTCTCTCATTTCTAGGTAGGAAGGGTTCGATGTTCAGCAGTGTCACCTGTTGACTTGTTTGCTTACCTTGTATCTCTGCTAGTTGAGATGTGAAATATCTCCCACCTATCTTGAGGTTATCTTGAGATGATTTCAGGGCTTTAGTGTCCCCGCGGCCCGGTCCTCGACCAGGCCTCCACCCCCAGAAAGCAGCCTGTGACAGCTGACTAACAACCAGGTGTTGTTAAGTCACTATTTAAGTCACAGTATCTATTTTACTGCTAGGTAACAGGGGCATAGGGTGAAAGAAACTCTGCCCATTGTTTCTCGCCGGCGCCCGGGATCGAACCCGGAACCACAGGATCACAAGTCCAGCGTGCTGTCCGCTCGGCCAACCGGCTCCCTAGCCCATAGCCAGAGTTTACTGCTTGCAGCTTTCCAGGTTGCTAGTTCATACTCTTTGAAATTGATTACCATTTTTGTTGTCTCCCTGTTGGGTTCACCTTCCTACTTCACCTGTTATTCTTTTATTTTGATTTTTGGCCTATCACTTTGTGATTGCATGTAATAAAAGCTTTTGTAAAATGTGTGTATATATCATCTGCATTTTTATATACTTCTAAAGCCTCTGTAATTTGTGATCTACAGTAGTACGATGACGTTGTAAAAGACACTATCTTCCAGTGCTAAATCCATTTTCAATTTGATTTTATAGCTTGTCGTTTTTTGTAAAATTGGTAATTTTCCTTCTTAGCAACCTCTCACAAATGTTAAATGATATGTAATGTTAGTGTGAATGGTCTGCAATTTTTGTTACTACAGTATTGTGAATTGGCTATTCTTCGTGTTTGCAGGTTGCCATCTGTCTGTAGGCTGATTTTCCATATTATTCTAAGTACCTGTGCTAATAAAAAAAAAAAAAAATTCTTTATAAATAAAGTTCCTTGGAGCTGAGTGAATGGGATCTTGAAGTTTGTGGGATGACCTTGCATACCTTACCTTGCTGTGATTCCAAGGATCAATATCCCTGCAGCCCAGTCTCTGACTAGGCCTCCTGATTGGTAGTCTGGCCACCTAAACCCCTGGACATGGCTGCTTGCAGCCTGATGTATGAATAACAGCCTGGTTGATCAGGTATCCTTTGAAGGTGTTTTAGAGTTCTCTTTTGAACCCTTGAGAGGTTGGCCAGTTTTGTCCTATATGTATGTAGCAAGAGCATTTTAAAAATTTTTGGGCCTTTGATATTGACAGTTCTCTCTCAGGGTACATATTGTACCTCTGCTTTTTAGTGGGGCTATTTTGCATATCCTGCCATGCTTCCTGGTCTCGTGTGAACCTTAAAATCTGATATAAAGACTGTCAGTGTGGGCCAAGTTCACGAAGAAAACTTTTTGAATCTTCTGCTTTCATTGTGTCATTTGCATGGCTAAATATAGATTCATACTTATCTTAAACAGTTTTGTTCATTTCTTTGTCATCATCAGTGAGTCAGTACAGTAGTGGGTGGGCCAAAATACTATTTTCTTATTTACGTATGTTTTCTGAAGCAGCCCTCATTCCGTCCACACTTTCTTCATTGATCTCTTAGGTAAGACTTTTTGAATGTGTCATTTCTAAATTCTTATACCGTACTGTAGTTTAACCTTTAGTCTGCTCCTGTCATTCTCAAATGATAAACTGGCAATGCCTCTGTTGTTTGTGAATGACTGAACTTGTCAATTAATATTGAAAGTTCCTAAAATATTCTATGTGGTTATCATTTGACACTAAAGACGTCTGGCAATCGTTTTCCATGTTGGGGAAAAATCTAAAAAGCCTTAATTAACTTCCTGGACATTCTTAAAAAAGTTGGCATCATGTCAGGTGCTTCACTATCCATTTACTGATGATGATGATGATGCTGTTGCTTGAAACTACTAATACCATGCAAAAATTCAAAGCTTTTTATGGACCACTAGGTATTTGTGATAAAGAAGAAATCTGTCACGAATACATTGTTTGCTTGAAAATTAATTCTCAGAATTTGATGATTTCATTTTTTCATTTCTTCACCTCACTATGACCAAACTAAAATTATTTTCATTTTTTCTGAAATTATAAATCAATATTTTACGACATAAAAAAAAGAGAAAGTTTTGTTATATATTTTTTTATCTGCACCAGAAAAAAATTGAGGATTAAGTACACTATGCATTCCTCTAGATGTCTTTTTCTCTCTACAGTTTCTGAGTTATTTGTTAAACAGGATAGTTGGTCACCACTCACTAGGTTCATTTATTTATTTATTTATTTATTTATTTATATACAAGAAGGTACATTGGGTTTATGAGAGTACAGAGCATTGAAATTTTACATTCTTGTAAAGCCACTAGCACGCATCTTCCCATCTTTATCATTCTCATTGTCCCAATACATACAGGCTTGGACAGGCAATCTTGTTTTTCATTAGTTCTTTTGTTTTATTTACATTTGACTTTATTTGTCTGTACCAATTCTTAATTCTTTCTTTCTACTTCCCCATTTATATATGTTTACTGAGGCAGTCCTCATACTGTACACACATTCTTTTTTCTCAGTTTGGGTATGTGATGGCTCCTTATGTATATAGCTTAGCTAGCATAAGAAATTTTATAGCACATATTTCAAGTATTCCTTTAAAATCTCGCTAGTACAGTTGGGTTCATTCTCCACTCACAATTGGTAATCCTGGGTTCAAATCCTGGGCAGGAAAGAAGTTTTTGGCCACATTTTCTATCACCTAATACCTTTGTTTACCTAGCAATAAATACATACACAGGCTGCTATCCCCCCGACAAAACAAACAAATTATTATTTAGTTCATTATCTGAGGCAGTAAAAAATGTCCATAGAGACTACATGAGGACTGCCTTGTCAAATAAGGAGAGTCCCAAGTAAGTGAGGTATCACTGTTCTGGAAAGGTCCCAGTAGTACACTCGGGTTCGTTCTCGTCTCACAATCGAGAATTCCAGGTTCGAATCCTGGGTGGGACAGAAGTGGTTGGGCGTGTTTCATATCACCTAATATCCCCTGTTCACCTAGCAGTAAATTGGTACCCAGGAGTTAGTCAGCTTGTTGTGGGGTTGCATCCTGGGACGGGTCAGTAATTTGACCCCTGGGGGGAAAAGGGACCTAAATATAAGCCTAACAAGTATTGTATGTATAAGCTGGCTGCCTATTACCTGACACAATGAATTATTATTATTTTTAAAAGATTATACCCATAATTTTTCATCACAATTAGTCTTCAAATTTTCATGCAAAGGGGCTTAACACATTTACAGATGCATTTGGATTTCTTAACTATCTGTGTCATACAATGATCATTGTTTCTTAAATAGCAAAATACTTAATGTGAATACAATTCTTGCCCATCTTTTTTATTATACCGATTCTAATAGTAGATTTGTCTTGCAGACGTTGGATGGAGAAGGTGAACGTCCCCACTTTTATGTGTACTGTGTAAAGCCATGTAACTCAGTTCAAGTGGGTAAACTGCGTGTAAGATGTGCATCTTGTAAACAAGGTGCGCTTACTCTGCATCGGGATCCCTGTAACTGGCAAGATGTTCTGAATCATGGCCAGGTTAGTACAGCTGTTGATATCTGTATGTTATGAGGGAGGCCACCTGGTGGCTCCTTGAAGCTATCTTGCTGAGATTGCTCCATCTCATGGGTCACATCAGTTGCAGGAGTTCTGTTTGACATGCAGGGGTCCAGAGCCAGGACCTGGTGTCCCCGCTCACAGACGCACAGAGAGCAAATAACACTTTGCCACCCCCACCGGGAAAGAATCCAGAAAGTCAAAGAAGCTTTTACAGACAAATGGAGTGTTCACTGAAAAACAAAGTCTCAAAACTACCTAATGACTCAACAAGCTAATCAAAGGAAACAAAAGATTCACTCAAAACTAGGTTAAACTCAATAGTATCAATAACCCAACCCCAGCCCACAGCCAGCTTCCCTAGCCAGTTCTGTCACTGATAGTGGTTAATACTACATGAATATGATCGCTCGGCTGCTCTATCATAGGTTTTATTCTGGGTCCCATTTGGTGCCTCAGAGCCATTGTATTTCTGGAAGTCTCTGTCTTCCTGTGTTATGCTTTCAGTGGCTCACATGGACCTGTTTTGGTACCGATTGTGAAATTCAGATCTCTCACTGATAGAGTCGGTTTGTTTTGAGTATGGGTTTGTCTCGGCTCATTAGCTGCAGTTTGACATTCTAGGTTCATCCTGGCTGGCAGATAACCCTCTCTTTTCCTTGGGGACTTGGCAGGGATTCTTTTGGACTTGCTCACTTGATACGTGGGAGCTGAATTTTGCCTTTCAGGTGTTCCTGGGTGGCGCATCGTATGTGTCATTCTTCTAGGTACTGCTTGTTTGCTTCAGTGTTCCCCAAGGATGTGGGCAAGTGGAAGCTCCATGTGCAGCTACCTATGTTGTTTGGGGGACTTATTGCAGATCAACCCGTCCTCTTAAAAATAACGTTGCTTTTCGCTCGTATGCGTGCAATGGCCAAAAATGGATGTACAGTACAGTAATTTGAAATGAAATCAGCTCATGAAAGTGATGTACTGTCCCATTTTCTGTTTGAGTTCTCCGACTTACTCAGTTAGGTTAGCAGAGGAAACTTTCAATCAAAGTTTTTCATGACGTTTTGAAACCTTAGGAGAATTTCCTGCCCTCCTAACCTACCAGAGGACCCTTAACTTACTGTTTTGGAAAAAAAAAAATTATTTATTTTTTTTTTCATTTTCAAATTACAGCCATTTTCGGTCATACAGGCAAATGGCCAAATTTGGACATAATTTGTATGAGGACAGGTTGTGCAGATGACCACCGAGCGTGTACTCACCTCGGTAGTGAAATGGGGTGTGTACACACTAAAACTTATCTTCCAGCTTTTATTGGCTGTGGCCTATTCCTGTCAAATTTTTGATCATTTGTTGTGTTTCTCAGGTTCTAGTGGTGGTAATTGGTGCTAACGAATTTTGAGCTTATTTTATTTTGAGCAATAGTTAAGTCAGCAAAATAAAATTATTAAACGTATGGATATTTGTTTTTTGCTAGTACACCACAGTTAATAACTGTTGCATCAAGCTTTGTGTCTACAATTCATACCATAAGATGTGTTTGTTAATGTTAAATATTTTTCAGATTAGTGCTACGTGTGAGACCGTTGGTTGCAGTGGTTCTGAAGCTGAATTCTTCTTCAAGTGTCGAAATCACAAAACTAGTGGAGAGGATGATACTTCAGTGGCGTTGTACTTGGTTCGTGCCAACCTTCCTGCTGTTCCCTGTTTGGCTTGTACAGACGTTTCATCACCTGTTGTTGTGTTTGAATGCATAGATGCTCATGTAATGTGCCTTGATTGTTTTGTTACATTTTGTGTGTCAAGACTTAATGAACGACAGTTTATACAAGATCCAGATCTGGGTTATACATTACCGTGTCCTATTGGTTGTCCTAATTCACTCATTCGTGAAGTGCATCATTTCAAGTTAATGGGTGACAACCATTATGAGAGATATCAACGATGGGGTACTGAAGAGGCTGTATTAGCTGCTGGAGGCGTATTGTGCCCATATCCTGGTTGTGGCCAAGGCATCATTCCTGACCAAGACTGCCATAGGGTTGTATGTACAGGTGGATGTGGCTATGTTTTTTGTCGACTGTGCCTGCAAGGTTATCATATAGGAGAATGTCATCCAGAGGATGGGAATGGACCTAATATTGTGGGAGGTAGTGGAGGATTTACTGTTGACCCTTCCAGGGCTGCAAGTTCTCGCTGGGATGAGGCCACATCTGTTGCTATTCGTGTTACTACTAAACCTTGTCCCAAATGCCGGACACCTACAGAACGTGATGGTGGATGTATGCACATGGTGTGTACACGTGGTTCGTGTGGTTTTCATTGGTGTTGGGTTTGTCAGACTGAGTGGACTCGTGAATGCATGGCAGCTCACTGGTTTGGATAGCTTATGAATTTTAAGCATAAACTGAATATTCTGTATATTTGTACAGTAAAACCCTGAAAATACTCATAAAAGAGAGAGGATTGTAATAAAAAATTGGAATAGAGATGCCCTCTACATTAGTATTCTTTTCCTAGTTAATCACAATATTATATAATTGCCTACTAATTTGCTCATTTATTGTTGCGTCCAGCCACTGAGTGTGTGGCACTATACATTGCTTCTTCCTTAGATCTTATTGAATTGTGTTAATTTTTTGCAGTATTTACTGAAGACATGCACACTTCTTATTCTAGTCTCTACATAATATAAACATGCAGCTTTTCATACTTGACTGCCAAACCAACATATATATACAAGTACTGTAATTATTTACTGGTGTTAATTTTGTTGTGGTCAAATATCGAGGATGACTGGCAAAAAATCCCAGAAGCATTTACTCATTGAATTTTTTTTTTTTTTTTTTTTAATATTCAGTTGAGTGCTAGCAGGTTTCAATATTTTGACATCATTGTGTAAATATGAGAAATGAGAGCCATAATAAAATCTCTTTAGTATTTAAATCTGTAGAACATTTGAATTTTTGTCCACACACAAAATAAATAGGATTGTATGGTGTTTATACAGTATTTTCATGCACAAATATGAAATTAAAAATGCTTAGAAAACATGTAAATTTTATGAAAACTTGAGAGATAAATATTGTTTATTTATTTATTTATTTATTTATGTATAGTATACAAGAAGGTGCATTGGGTTTATGAGAGTACATAGCATTGATGTTTTTACATTCTTGTAAAGCCGCTAACATGCATAGCATTTCAGGCAGGTCCTTAATCTAACAAATAATTTTAAGTAGGTGATTTCTTGAAAGTTGAGAAATGTTAATAGGTTCGTTGTAAGAAAATTTGACGAAGATTAGTAGGTCATTATGGTAAAATTTGAGGATTGTCAACAGGTACATTGTAGCATAATTTGAGGATTAATTCTATGTATAATGTAGTAAAATATGCGTTCATTGGGGGAGTGGGTAGCACAAGATACAGTGCGAGTTTAAGGCACTAGGTAGGAAACTATGAGGATAAAATTAGGGACTTTTTAGTTGTTTTTTTAATAAGGCACAGGTGAGACAATTTTTCAATTTGTTAGGGAGTGAGTCCCATAGACTAGGTCCCTTTATTTGCACAGTATTTACACAGATTTAGTTTGACTGGGGATATCAAAGAGATATTTATTTTTAGTGTGGTGATTATGGGTTCTATTACATATGTCAAGGAAGAGTTTCAAATCAGGATTTGCATTTAAGAACAGGGTTTTGTAAATGTAAATGGCACAAGGGAATGTGTGGAGTGAGTTTATGTTTGGCATGTTTAGGGATTTAAACAGGAGGGGCCGAGTGTTGTCCAAAAACAGAGTTTGTTATTGTTCTGATAGCAGATTTTTGCTGGGTGATGATGGGCTTGAGGTAGTTTGCAGTCGTTGAACATCATGCACAGATACCGTATGTAAGGTAGGGACAGATTAGCTCATGGTATAATGAGAGGAAAGCAGAGTTAGGAACATAATATTTGATTTTGGAAAGTATTCCAACCATTTTTTGAGACTTTCTTGGTTATGTGTTGTATGTGGATGCTGAAGTTGAGTCTTTTGTCTAAGGAACTTTCCATCATTTTCATTGTTGATATTGTAAGTATTATAAAGACTGTAATGTACTCTGAAATACAATACAATACTGTATACTGAATTGAATATACTTTACAATATATTTAAATACAATATACTGTACTGTATATTCAGCACAGTGTAATACTGTGTGTACAAGTTGGAGTATAATGTAGAAGAGGTAAATGAAATCTAAAAGTAGACACAGCAAGGTGAAGCTTATGGTAGGGCTAATACTGCATATTCTAGGACTCATGTTCAACAAACTGTATAATACAATATTCTGAATGATTCCTAACTTCCTTATGTTTCTAAATACTATAAATATGTTTTCAAATTTTTCATATATTTCTGATGTCATCATGTTTGTATGGGTGTGTGATCTTAATCCCTACTCCGAGATTCTTTTCTTTTTTTTTGACTCTTGCCTTCCTCTTATGTTCCATCTTTCTGGCCACCTCTTCTCCAACACCAACATACCGACATACATGTTGGAGAAGAGGTGGCCAGAAAGATGGAACATAAGAGGAAGGCAAGAGTCAGAAAAAAGAAAAGAATCTCGAAGTAGGGATTAAGATCACACACCCATACAAACATGATGACATCAGAAATATATGAAAAATTTGAAAACATATTTATAGTATTTAGAAACATAAGGAAGTTAGGAATCATTCAGAATATTGTATTATACAGTTTGTTGAACAAGAGTCCTAGAACCTCATTGTACTTTTTGGATTGAAGTCTAGGATCCACTTATCTGACCAAGTTTGTAGCATGTTTAGGATCCCCAGTAGTGTAGTGCACCCTACCTACCTACCTACCTTACCTAATGTAGGTAATTAAGTATGTCCTCCCCCCTCCTCCTACACCTTGTGTAGCTTCCGGGAATCAACAGCTCTGAGGTCCCTTAGTCATTACTCTTCTCATCAGTTTTGCATCATTTGCAAAAGACCTTGGCCTGTGGGACCTTGGCTTCACTTTCGTCTACTCTGATGTTCTCTCTTACCATAATGCACTACTTCCTCTCTGTCAGTTACTTTCTTATCCAGTCTAGTTCCTTCCGTTTTTCCAGCTTTCTTAACCAATTTGTGTATCAATCTTTTATAGGAGAGAGTGTCAAAGGCTTTTTAAGTCTTAATGCCTTGACTGTGCCCATGTTTATGTATGACAAGTGAAAACAAATCCACATTTTTCCTTCTAATATTGTTAAAATGCATTACTTGATTGCAGGAAATTTAAGAAAAAAATGTATGTGATTTACGTTGGCTGTGAGGAAGTAAGAAAATCCTTATGATGACATCACAATTCCTGTGCATTCATTGAAGGACATCTTTCTGGACAAGGCGTGGGGCGGGAGTTGTCACAAAGATATTTTTACATAATTATTTTGATGTCACTGATTTGTTTTTTACTTTTCTTTTGGGTGGGGGGGTGCCAAAGGTGAGCCCTTTGTGGCTCCCTGAAGCTATCTTACTGAGACTCCCAACTACTAGGTCACATCAGCCACAAAGTTCTGTTTAGCTTAGTGTTACGACCCTGGGTTCCTCAAGTGGAAACCAGAGGTCAAATTGAACTAAATAAGCTACGTTAGATTAGCAAGACGCAAGTCGACGTGTCTTTGTTCGTATCTTCCCTGCCAAACGTAGGATGAATCTTGTTGCTCACAAGCATTCAGACTCTTGAGCTTGTTGTGGATTAAGTATAACATTGTTATAAGATTAACTATCCTGAGAACGAGTAAAGTAACAATATGATGCATAGGGGAAGATTTTTAATGTGTTTAGCTGGACCAGAGCCAGAAATTGGCCCTCGCACAAAGAGCAGATGACACTGCCATCCCACTGGGAAATAATCCTGTAAGTCAGCAAACCAATACTGACCACTGCAGAGTTCAAAGAGACTGAAGCCTCAAACACTGCCAAACTCCTCCTACATTGTAAACAAATGATAGAATCTCTCGAAACAAGAGCGAGCTCATAAGCACTACCCCCTCTCACCAGTTTGGGAGGAAGGTTAGAGCTCCCCATCTTCTCTGATCTACTACTGTACAGTATACCAATTCTGTTACTGATACATGCACATGTGAATGTACACTGTTGGGCTCCCAGTCATCAATAAGGTGTGCATACCTTACATTACATGCAGGTCATACTGCTTGTAAACTAAGTGCTGGCCATCCTTGGACTCTGTCCTGCAGGGGAGGCCATTTGCATGGTATTCTTTGTTTTAGTTCTGCTTTGCGAGTGTGTTTTCTGTCAGGTTTCTATTGTGTGGGCCTGGCTCATAGGGTGCTTGGAGCTGAATGTGCTCAGGGTTACCTTCCCCGATTGCTCCCTAGCACTGCCCATGCACTGACAGAGTTCTCTTCTCTGGTGTTGAATAGCACCTCCACTTTTCAACTGGGTTATTTTGCACATCCTGCCATACCTCCTGGTTTCATATAGAGTTATTTTTGTGTGCTGATTTGGAACCAGTCCCTCTAACATTTTTTAAGTGTAAATTACTGTTTCTCTCCTGCCTGCACTCTACAGAATAGTTTTAAAATATTTAAACAGTCCCAAGAATTGAGATGGATTATTGAGTGTATCAGGGCAATAAAAAACCTTTCCGCATTCTCCATGTCAGCAATTTTTTGCAGTTTTGAATGGGGCTGTTAATGTGTAATAATGTTATGGCCTAGAGACTCTAACACTAGTGTCTTCAAAAGGGGGGTCTAATTATCCAAAGCTACCCCAAAGCTTCCTACCATTACATAAGTAATGAAGAACTATGACATATTTACTCACTATAATGTTGGTGCTGAATGTAGAACATGAAAAAACATATTTTGACTGAAATAACACCATTTTATAACAAAATTAGACGAATTTAAATGGCACGTGATGCCACAGGAAGTCGACGATCCGAGCAACAATGTTGTGGCCTTGGGCAATTAGATGGACCTAATTTTGTTATAAAATCATAATATTTCAAAGTAAAAATATACTTTTTTGTGTTCTACATTCAGCACCAACATTATAGTGAGCAAATATATCATAGTTCTTCATTGTGTACATAATGGTAGGAAGGTTTGGGTAGCTTTGGGTAATTAAATGGACCGTTAAAAAAAGTATCATTGTTGGTATGGCATTTCTTGTTTAAAAAGATCTTGTTATCCAACCTGTCATTTTTCTTACAGTTGTGATAGCTACTTTATTGTGTTCTTTAGAATTAAGGTCTTCTGACATTACTTCCAAATCCTTTATGTTGCTCTTTCTGTCACTAGTGTGGTTTGACTGCATTTTTATATGTGGTTTCTGCTTTGATATTTAAATTTTTTCCATAGCTCAGTGGCTGGGTTTTATCCTCATTAAATATATTATTTTCTGTGGTCTGTTGAAAGACCTGAGTAACATTTGATTGGAGGTTTGCTGTGTCCTCTATATTGTTTACTTTCATGAAAATTCTTGTGTC